CCCACGGGGACGGGGGGAGGAAGGAGCCCCTGGGGGGGGGGAAGGGCTTGCTCTTTTGTCCGCTTTAAGATCCCGGGAGTCCACGTGTTCTGGATAAATGCCGAGAGGCAGAGAAGCTGTCTCAGTCCCATGTCTCTGAGCACCAGCTCCCATCAGCGTTCTCTGGATGGCGGCCCTGGGCTTTTCCGTTAGCGAGACCAACACTCGTGGGGAAGAAGGGATTATGTGAGGCCTTTTTGAACCCTGAGCCAGTGGTCATAGCTCTCGCCTGATCAGGGCCAGGTGGTGTGTTACACACTCCATGCATGTCCCCTTCTCCTAACCTCCACAAGACACGCAGGCCCATCACTCAGGGGAACTCTGCGGTACCTTCCCCCGACTGCAAACCAGCAAACAGCCATGAGGGTCTCCCATGAACTGGGCTGTCTGTCACCCACAGCTGCTGGGCAGAGCCAGGCTGGGTCCCTGCCCGACACCTGCCCCACAAGCACCCCAGGCTGCTGGGGGGCTGCTCATGGCCACTTTGAAGGCACAGCACCTCCTCCTGCTGGTACGGGCGCCGTCTGTGCTGGTGCCACCGCCACCGAGTGCGCGCCACCAGCCCTGCCAGAGCCGGGCTCACCACCTCTGCTGCCGCTGCATCCACGCCATCCGCCCGGGCTCATGCATGGCGTCGGCCCTGCGGGGGCCACAGGCAGATGAGGGAGAACTAGAGCTTGTGGGCAAGGCCACTTCTGGGGGAGAAGACTTGGGGGGCTCATTCCAAGGGGCTCCCAGAAAGCTTTGGCCCCAGAGAGCCCGTTTCCACCACTTTCCGGCCTTTGGGGTGGGCCAGGCATCTCGGCGCTGCTCCTTGGGGACTCTAAGATCCACCAAGACCCCTGGTGGTGGACCAGCCTCACTCTGGACCTGAGCGCAGTGCAATTCGGGTCTCGTTCCTCAGAGGTGTTGTGACGCTGCTGCTTTATTCCTCGCAGGCCATGAGTCCCTTCTGGCATGGGGCCGGGGTGTAGGTGGGAGGGAGGGAACATAGCACAGAGCCGGAAGGAGACTCAGACACATTTCAAAGGGGGAGGCCCACCTCCAGGGGGGGCTGGAGGGCACTGGAGCTGTTTTCCTGGGCATTTCCAACCAGCTGTGGTTCTTGGTCAAGTGACTTGCAATTCCAGGCGGAAGAGGGGCGTCTTTCCAGAAGTGCTTCTGCACGTGCTTCCAGAATGATGGCCCACTTGTAGACAGGCACGAGGAACACCGCTGGGCATGGCCAGTCACCAGAAAAGGTGGCCCTCAGGGCCCCACCCTTCCTCACCTTCCAGAATGCCTTTCTTGGAGAGTACCTGGGAACCCGGGCTGCCCCAGGCAGGCTGAAGCAGACACAGTCATGAGGCGGTTCAGTGCCCCGAGCCCATGCTTTGCAGTAAGAGGGGGGGTAGGGTCACTGGCCACCAAGATAGGGCCCCCTACATGCTCCACAGAGTCCAGTACTAAGCAGAGACACAGAACCCTCTCATTCAAGCTCCCGCGACTTTCAAGATGCTGACCACAGAGCATGCAGTCAACTGAGGGGACTGCATACCCACGGTGGTCTCTTGGGGCCACCTGCTGTGCCCTTGGTGGCCTCGGGTGGGTTATGGGCACTGCCAGACCATGATCAGGCAGTTATTCTTACACACAATCACCTGCTCCTGGTCTCACGGAAGAAGAACACTTTACAAAATGACCGAAGGCTTATACCCAAAGACTTCAAAAATGCCCCAGCCTGGGCTGGAGTGATAATATGGTGGGGGGGGGGGGGAGTTTTCCTTGCAAGTGGTCAACCCAGGTTTGATTCCCAGCATCCCATAGGGTCCCCCAAGCACCACTAGGAGTAATTCCTGAGTGTGAGCCAGGAGTAACCCGTGAGCATTGCCAGGTGTGACTCCAAAAGAAAAAATTATTAAAAAAATGTGAAACCCACAAAAAACGCCCTGGCCCTTGCAATGAGACCCAGGAAGTGCTGGTACAGAGCATGAGAAACCCCTTCTTCATTATTCCCTCACTTCCCTCCAGGCCCATACATCCTGAGAGGGGGAGGAATGGCTGGAAGGGACAGTGAGGTGGCCGGCCACAGCAGGGCAGGAAAGGGACCCCCGCCTTCAAGGCTTCTGTGGGTCTCGAATGATGGATGGGTCCAGTAGGGCCCCAGGGGAAGGTTCCGGAAGGATGTGGAGAGCAAAAGCGGGCAGAAGACGGTCAGTGGGCTGGGGGCAGCGTATATTCGAGGTTAGCGAATCACTCCAGGGGAGCGCAGTCAGAGCCAGCAGCACTCATGGTACCAGAGCGGACTTTAAGAACACCTCATGGCTACCACGCTCCAGGGTGAAATACAGCCTGACCCGCAACCTGTCAACGCCGCAGATGGTACGTGAGTGACTCGTGAACCTTCCACCTGGCCTGTCTGTGCCACGGAGCTCCCTGGCTGCAGCCAGGCCCGGGTTTCCTGCTCAGGCTGTGCGCACGCACACTGCCGGCCAGTCCCCCGCCCTTCCCACAGGGCATTGCAGAGTGGTGAGAGTCCCAGATGTCCACTGCTTCAAGGCCCTCCTCCTTTCTGGCACCTTCCCCCTCAGGCGTTGTTCATAGACCAAACCCGGCTGGGTGCCGGCCACGCCTCACCCCCTCACTCTGCAACAGCTACACCCCTGAATTCCAGGCGCTGGGTCTGCTGCCCCCACCACCGGGGGCATGAACCGCTCAGCAGGACTGGTGCCTGCTCCAGCCGGACTCAAGGAGGAGGGGGTGGTGCGGAGATGCTCCAGGCCCGTCTGGGGTCCCAGTTCAAATTCTGGACCCACAAACGTCTTGCGGTCATGGGGCTGCCCCTGGGTGTGGCAGGTACCCGTTGCAGGGGCACCTGGATGCCAAGGTTGTCCCGGGTTGTGAAGACAAGAAGAGACAAAGAGCAGTGGGAAACAAAAGGCAAAAGGAGAGAACCATACCAGCCCCTCATCTGCTACTCCAACGGGGCATGCAATTCAGGGTCAACTGAGGTCTTCCAAGAGCCTTCCAGAAACAAAGCAAGCACGAGAAGGTGGGGACACGCTACCAATCCCGCCTCGTTTTTCAGATAATCATTTCTCTCCTGGAAAAAAGAAACCAACTCAAACAACACATTATTTATTGAGCACCTACTATGTGACAAGAGCTTGATTTTTTTCAAGGGCACCACCGGGGATTTCTTTTCCTCAACCGTCCTTTCTTCTTCAAAAGTAGTTAAAGCATTGCCCAGGATGCTTAAGCAACATGTTAACTGAAGGTTAATATTCTTTTCCCCTCGAAGCATTTAAGATTATTTTGAAGGAACATCTTTAGAAGCAAAAGCCAGATGGCTGTGCAGTTTTTTATATAATATATATTATGTAAATATATGTAATATAATATATAATATATAATTATATATTATATATGTATACATATACATATATAAAACATTTGGCTTTTTTTCTTTGTTTTCTTTCTACTATTATTTTCTACCAGAAACTTTCCTCTTCTTTTTCTACTTTCTGATTTTTAGGGAGAAAAAAAAATCTAGCATCTGGAGTCTGAGACCACTTGAAGTCGGGCTAGGGACTGCTAATGACCTCCCAGAGATAACCCAAAGCGCTGATTTAGCAAAGCCCATTCTTGACCTTGACACAGACAAGACAGGCCCCAGGGAAGGACTTGCCAGGGAACAGCTCCAGAGAAAGGATCATAGAAGCGCTGGGAGCCCACGAGGCGCCCTCCCCGCATTCAGCAAACACCTGGCTAAGTTGGAAAACATGACCGCACCACCCTTCCTACTGGCTCCGATTGAAGCTGTCAGCTCTCGGCTTGTCACCAGTTGCACTGGGAGGCCCCGGGCAGCCACAAGAGCCCTAATTAGGCAGAAATGACACTTCTACAACTGACCTGCCAGGACCTTTGGCAAACCATTTAACATCATTAGTTAACATTTTTTAAAAAGTGTGAATGTAAATGAACAGCCAGTGGCTTTCAATGGAGTTTGTCGGTGGCATGCCCCCCCCCCCCCTCGTCTCCGTCTCCCGTCTTTCTCTCTGCATGAATAGCCCGCTTGTTTTCCCCAGAATTCGAGGGAGGTGCAGGGGAAGGAGGAGGAAGAAGACTGGTCCTCCATGAGGGGAGACATGTTAGGGCCGAAACGAGCTCAGAGGAGCAGACGGGCATCTCCGCCTTCCCGTGAAGGGATCCCCAGTCCTCATCACACGCTGGTGGGCTGGCCAGGGGGGGTGACTCCTGGGAGGTGAGCTGTGCTCGCGAGCATCGCAGAGACCATACCAGGCTCTGCTTAGCTGGGCGAGATGTTCATCCCCTGACTCAAGGGCCCTCAGAGATGGATCCAGAATCCCGTAATTAAGCCAACATCGCAGCGTTGCAGGGAAGTGATTCATGAGATTCTCTTGATTTCCCAGGGCACACGAACACCCTATTTTCATTCTACCGCGCATGCAGTGAACTGCATGTACTGTAGCATTAAGGGGGGAAAGATATTCTTTTAAAAATGAGAATACTCAACTTAAAACATTTTTTGTTGTCGTCCAAAGGGCTGAAGAGCAGATCTTGCATGTGGGATCCCCGGATTGGATCCCCTATTACACATGATCCCCATGCAAGCTCTGCTGGGAGTAGCCCCTGAGTCCAAGTCCATATGGGGCCCCCAAACGTTTGAGTAACAAAAAAAAAATGCGACGGACCATCTGCACCTTCCATGAGTCATCTTTAGACTGGCAGAGCATCTGGTGAAAAAGTGGACACGGTGGGGGGGGGGGGGCGGTTGCTGCTCCCTCTCTCTCTCTCCCCTCTCTCCACTGCTCCACGACAGAGAACCCGCCTGCACACACAGGCCTGGAGGCTGAGGCGAGACGAGCCAGCTTGCAGACTGGTGCTGAGCTGGGCTGGACAGGGAGGCCCGGCCGGGCGGAGGCTGGCTTCATACTTACACGTATCGGGGTGGTTCCTACCTGTGGCGGCTATTTCCCACTTTGAATCACACTTCATTTTGCTCTTGGCTGTGCACCCACAGAATCCGTACACACCGACACTCTCCATCTGTGGGAGGGAGGAGAGAGTGTCCGCTGTGAAGAGGTCACGTGCTCTCTGGGTTCCCACCTTGCCCCCATGGGTGGCGCCAGTTGGAAGTGGCCAGCAGCACTCTGAGGCGGGGGGGAGGGGTGGAAGGAGAGAGACTGGGGGGGTCTGCTGAGGAAGGGGCTCCTGGCTGGGCTGGGGCCCTGGGCACTTACCACCTACTCGCTGTATGGTCTGGGGCAGGGTGCTTAGCCCCCCAATCTCAGATGCTTTCGTCTGTAAGCCAGAGATAACGCCTTACTACTTCAAGGGAGAAAAAAAAAAGGTAAGTGGACATATCACGACAACTGGAAATCCCTGCTCAGATGTGCGGAGTGACCAGCCCTCTGGAAGCTGCCAGGTCTGAGGAACTGCACCAGACTCTCATCTGCCATGAGTCCCAGAGAGAGGAAATGCAGAGTCCTGTTCCGGTTCCCCCGGGGTGCTGGAGTAAGCCACCAGCCCCCCCAACAGCATCCCCGGTCCCTCCCAGGCCCCAGTCCTCCGAGTCTGTTTATTCTCAAAAGGCCTGGGAGGATCTCAAAGAAAACTGTTTGGGGACCTTGGGGAGTCACCACTTGGTACCCTCAGGAAGATGGGGTAGCCTGTCTGGGCCATGTGGGGGTGGGGGGGAGGTTGCTGGGGGCTGGACACAGTAAGGGTCACCAAGTTGAGATGCTGTGTGCGTGGCAGTCCCCGTGGGCCTGAGCTGGGACAGTTGGGACACCCATATGCTGGAGGCAGCACCTTCCCTGCACAGGCCGCCCTGAGCGAATTCCACTTGGCCCTGAATTCAAGAGCAACCCAAGTGATGGGGGGGCAGGGGATGGTGAGGAGGAGGGTTGCAGGAGAGAGGGCAGAGGTAAGCCATCTGCGTTTGGGGCAGAAAGAGTGGAAATACCAGGCCCGATCCTTAATAACAGTAAATGGGACAGGGTGGGGGGTGGGGGTTGGGGGAGGTGGGAGGAGGTGGGGGGGGGAGCAGCGCTCTGCCGGCTCCTGATGGAACATTTAGTGCTTTTAAGCTAAATACCTCCGCATATTAAGCAAATAGAGAAAAGCCAGCTAGAAGATGTCAGCAAATTGAAGCGGGGCGACGCAGGGGGAAAGCCGATAGGAGGTGTCTGGCTTTGACCCCCTTTCCCATCGCACGTCCAGTCCGCCCGGCTTGTTTAGTATTGCTTCTCCTCTCCAGCTGCGGAGCTTATTGAAAAGCTCTCGCTCCCTGCCTGGTTTTGGCACATTTTCTGCAGGTGCCTCCTACTGCGGCCACAATGGGCTGCCAGGGAGGTTCAGACCTGTCAACAGCTCCCGGGAAGGGGGGGTGGGGGGTGGGCGGCGCTGTCTTAAAGGGCCAGTGACAGGATGTGCAATCTACCTGCTGATGTCGGGGGTTCCTTCTCTTACCCCCGCCAAGCCCCCACCCAGCACCCCCCCAACCCACCCGCCACCCCTGCGCTCCCTTTCTCCCTTTAATGATTTAACTTGATCGCTTTGGGTCCTTTCTGGAAGGGGAATTGCTCCATTGATCATATAAAGTAATTGCCTGTAAAAACATTGCTCTCCAACGACTACTCCTCCGTTCCCGGCTGAAAATGTCACGGCAATTGAACAGCTCTTAGCCAGGTTCAGGAAGGCGGCCCCTTAAGAGAAGCCTCTTTCTCAGGTCTCCCGGTACCTGGGCATCCCCGTGGGGACGTGCTAGGTGTGATGGAGGAGTCCCCGCTTTCCAGAGGCAGAGGAGGACTTTTTATGTGAGGTTGGGGACCCCCCCTTCACATCTAAAATGGGACTGATCCCTTCAGGGCAGAGAAACTTCTATCACCCAGACCTTTCTTGACTCCAGTTCCTGGGGACCCAGAGAAACCGGTGAGGGAGGTCTCCCTTTCATCTCAGTAGCAGCAGCCTTCTTTTGTCTCTGGGAAGCAAGGTCTGGGGTTTGGAGCAGGGGGGGTACATTTCGGTCTGTCTGGCTGTATAGATGCGTCCCTGGGCTGCGGTGATGGCCGGCCGCAGGGACATACTGCAGAAGGACCTGGCCATGCACTCCCAGAATCTCCGGTGGATCCCTGATTAGTTCTTGGGGGTGTGTCACTGTGTGTGTGTGTGGGGGGGGGGTGTACCTGGGGAGGAAGCAGTGTGGCAGTTGTGGACAGTGTAGGGTACTGAGGGCAACCACCCAGTCACTGAGACAGTGGACAGCCCGTGCCTGTCAGGGAGTAAGTGCAACTCTCCCTGCTTAACTGGTGGGACCCCCATTCCCTCATCGAGTCTGCACAGAGCCTGCGGTCCCTCCCGGGAGAGCACTGGCTGAGGATGAAGCCAGAGTACTGAGGCATGGCTATCTGTGGACCTTTAAAAAACAGAGGCAAAGGCAAAGACACCTGCTGACACCCTTTAATGCAGAAAAAAGTGGCCTACAGACCTTGCGCAAGGGCCTGGGACAAGTTTCTCTTGCCTACAGCACCTTTTTCTGGGGGATTGAAGGACTTGGGGTTTTGCTCTTGATTTTTCTGTCCCCGTGAGTTCGAATGCACACACCATGCAGTTAGAGTCTCACACAGACCAGTCCTCGAACCCCTCTCCAAGACAGACACTGCTTCCCTGTCCGGACCCTCCGACGGGAAGGGAATGAAATGATTATTTCTTCTGACACCCAAGGGAGATGCCAGCACTTTCCCCAGTGGGAGACGCGGGGGTTTCTCCGAGCGGCTTAGGTGGAGGTAGGGGGCTTACACCTTCCTCTCAGGGGACAAGGAGACAAGGGAGTGAAATGAGGCCCAGAGTCGCCCTGGCTCTGTGGTTTTCTGATCTAGAAAAATGATCCAGGAAGGAGCCAGAGCAACAGCACAGCGGGTAGGGCACTTGCCTTGTACGCGGCTGACCCAGGTTCAATCCCCGGCATCCCGTATGGTCCCCCAAGCACCACCAGGGGTAATTCCTGAGTGCAGAGCCAAGAGTAACCCTTGAGCATCACTGGGTGTGACCCAAAAAGAAAAGAAAAAAAAAGATTGAGGCAGAGGCTTGGGGAAACCACTGGTGCTCACAGGTGCCAGAGGAAAGAGCAGAAGTGGCCCAGACATTGGCAGTCGGGCCAGGAGAAGTGGGCAAGGGTGGCAGGGTGGGACCCCCTGGAGCAGCACCTCTGGGGAGGAGCTCGCTGGAAGGAAACTTGAGGGGGACAGGCTGTAGGCTCAGCCAGTGTCTCTGCGTTAACTCCCTGATGACGGGGTGCAGGTACATTGGTGCCACCTCACGGGCTGGGGTGGGGGACACGGCCACAAGCCAGTGGTCGGGATGAGCACATGGGCAGATGGCACAGTGCATTTCCAGGCCATCCCCGAGCTTTTCTGCACACGTGGCAGAGGCCTGAACGGGACCCCAAGTGTCACACAACCACATGGGGGTGACCTGTGGGCAGCCCTCCTGGGGTTCTGCTCAGCATGGGAGAGAAAACACCTGCCAGCCAAGGTGGAATCTGCCCTGGTGTCATGTTCACTGGCACTTTCACTTTCACCCCAGTGGAATTTGGGAGGCTGTTGCACACACACTCAAGGACATGTTATTTAACAATGCAAATTTGTTTTTGTTTTCATTTGGGGGCCATACCCGGCAGTGCTCAGCGATCACTCCTGCGTGCTCAGGGGACCCTATGGGATCGCACCCGGGACAGCCGCGTACTAAGCAAGCACCCTATCTGCTGCACTATCTCTCCGGCCTAAAGAGATTTTAGAAAGTAGATGGAAAGGCTCTCAGGGCTTCGTCTTTGCGCACCTAACGATGACACACAGCCAGAGGAAAAACTGGACAGTGCAGCCCTGGCCTGGGCCACCGGGGATTGTTCTGATGGGTGACAGCTTGTTCTGAAAGATGGCAGTCGGATCGGGAGAGTTGTTCAACTGGGTTTTGTGTGCCCCTGGCAGTGCTCTAGGAGACAGTATGGAGGGTGGTGAGGATCGAACCCAAGGCTCCTGCATGCAAAGCCCGTGCTCCGTGCTTTGAGCCATCTCTCCAGTCCCTTGGCAAGTCAGACTCATACATATAGGTGGGCAATGGAATATCCTGGATATTTTGATCCGGAAACTATGCAAGTGCTTACACTTCTCTCCCACAGCTATCTCGGTGGCTCGAGGCCCACACACGGGAATGCTAAGATCCATTTTAGTTAAAAGATTGACATTTGGCTGACAGGTAATGGGACCCACAGATAAGTATGGATTCCGACATTGGAAAATATTCACTTGAACTTTACAGCTCCTGGATGAAGGTAGGGCCACAGGCTCACGGGAGAAAAGGACCCTGCTAAGCAAGGCCGAGGAGAACGCATGGGAGTCGTAAAGGGACGTTTCAGCAGCAGCCTTTGCGGGAAGCCAGGCACATCTGGGGAGCAGGTTCCGCTCCCCGGTCCCTGGGATGAGAGAGCTTCCACACTTTGATCTATCAGCTTTATCTTCTACAATTCTTTTTTTGTTTTGTTTTGTTTTTGCTTTTTGGGTCACACCTGGCAATGCACAGGGATTATTCCTGGCTCATGCACGTAGGAATTAACTCCTGGTGGTGCTTGGGGGACCATATGGGATGGTGGGAATCGAACCTGGGTCGGCCGCGTGCAAGGCAAATGCCCTACCCACTGTGCTATCGCTCCAGTTACTCTCTTACAATTTTTTTCAAATCACAAGGGCAAAGTTTTCTTCCTTCCAAAAGTTAGGAAATTGGATATTAGTCATCTATCTATACCTATATCCATATCTATAACTATCCATCCAAGGCCAGGCAAAACAAGGGCCAGGAGGTCTGGTCAATGGTTGGAAGCTTGCCACAAGAGTGTCTGGGGGTGAAGGACAGGTAGGATAGAGAAGGAAGCAATGACAATAATAGAAAAGGATCCTTTTAGACAGGACTGAGTGTTGAAAGTAGGTAAAGAGATATATCTGATAACCTTTCAGTATCTGTATTACAAATTGTAAGGCCCAAAAGGAATTAGAGAGAGTGAGAGAGAAAGAGAGAGGAAGATTCACAAATGAATCTCGGAACACAGAAGCTTGCTGCAGAGATGTCTCCAGACTCCAATTATTTAAAATTTTAGAATTCCAGGAGTGCACGGCTACCTTGTTTAACTTTTTTGTTGAGTTACTGTGAGATAGACCCCTACAGACATTTCATACTATTCATAACAAGCAATACAAAATAATAATGATGGTGAGGAGGTGTAATGGTGGTGATATTGGTGAATGTAA